CATCTTGGTAAGCTCCTGTTGGCCTACACATCAGTAGGCTTGCCTATGCAGTTTTCCCCTTTCGTTGGGTGGATTGGGAAAAGGGCCACTTCCATCTTCCAATGTAATTTTTCATTCTTCCAATTCTTCTAACATAATATCTCAACATAACTGAATATGAAGAATCACTCCTTTCTTTTCTGTTGGTCACTGTGGAAGCTCTTATTTGTCAGCAAAAACTAGACACAGCAGTGTGTCCTGTGGTAACATACAGGTCAGACAGTGACTTTTCATTCCAGAGACCCAAATCCCCTCACATCCATGCAAAGTTTGCAGCGCTGAGTTCAGGGTGAGAGGTAGACCCATACCCTCAGTTTGTGACCATGGAACAGCACCAGCATCAGCCCCTGTACTGCAGGTGATGGGTGACACTAACAGCAGGGCTCACTGGCTTTGGGCTACCAACTCCAAATGACAACAAAAGGGTTGGCTGCAGCCCATGAACCTGATTTCTGACTTGTTTCTGGACAGAAAAATCATTGTAGCTTGTTCACAAAGCTCTGGTGCTGAGGACAGGGAGAGAGGGAACTGGCAATGTGGAACGACTTGATTGTTTTTTTCCAGTCTGGATGTTTTCTGTATCTATGAAGAGGCATGCTTCCTCCAATAAAACACCAACTGGTTCCTGTCTCCCAGTCACACTGACATTCCTGCCACTGGTTTCCACCTGCCCACACATGTTTCCCCAGCAGCCCTTCTTGCATAAGCCACAGTTTGTCTTGGTTTCAATGCAAGCAAACAGAAAATGGCTGATCATTACTATCTGAGTTAAAGGAGGCATTATGTGTACTTTATGCTGTTTAGCTGACAGAAATTCAGAGAAGGAACTTAGTGATCCAGTGAGAATCTCATCCATTATGGGCAATGACTCCTGGTGCCAGCTTTTGCATCAAGGCCAGCTGAATGGAAAGTGTTGGGTACACGAACTGAAAGACTTGATCATGCAAACAAGCTGCCAAATCAGAACAACAACATACCACCCTGTTCTACACTTAAAATCAAGAAATGGAGAGAGTGTCAAATTCCCTAATTCTGGAACAGCAACTGGGAGCTGGTTAATGTTCAGCCTTCAGAGCCATTAACTCTACAGGGACTTGTGCCTTCACAGCTGGCCAAAAAAGTGGCTTGCTTTTATGATCCCAAGGGGATGAGGAGCTCAGACTGCAAAACTCGGAAAGGTCTTTGTCATAGCAGAAGGACAAGCAGACAGCATAGGGCTAAGTCTTGTTCTCAGGCCAGAATGCAAATGCAGTCAGCTGATGATTTCTCTGGCATTTCAGTCTTGACATCAGCTGAATGATTCGTGTCCAATTATCCAGCCATCTCACCAAACTCTGTGCCTTGACCTACCTCAAGCCCAGCAGCTCGATATGCTGATTCACAGACATCAAAGATAAATGACAGTTTCAAGGCACGCTTTGTGGCAAGCCAGCAGCACTGGTGCAGTCACCTCCAGGAAGCCAGCACCTGAGAGAAAGCCAGCAACCCACACCTATAGAGCAGTGACTCTCCCCTACCCACCACAGCCCCCGTCTCAATTCTCCTGTGCCACATGAGGGAGAAGCACTGTCACAGCAGCAACTATTGATAACCTATTCCCTCTCCAGGTGAACCCATCACCGCCCACTCCTTGCCACCAGGCCAGGTAGTCAGCCAGGCACTGTCTGGGGTACTACTAATTCCCAGTTCCTCTAGTTCTGTACACTTACACACCTCTGTACACCTATACAAATTTTTGTCTCAGTCTGTATATGGAGGGCCTGCACTTCCAAAAAGTAGTTGGTTGTCCCTGACAACACCATCTGCCAGGCTTATTACTTTGCAGGCCAAGTGAATAATTGTTCTTTGTACTCCTTTCCACAACTCTTTTGTGCTCCACAGCCAGCACAGGTTCTTGACCTCCTGTCCCAATCCTAAAGCTGAGTTTCCCAAGTATGTTCCACCATCACATAAGAAAAACTGAGGCCAGAAGGGGATCAGAAGGGAAATGCAACCTGAAATCGATGAGCACAGCACAAAGATGCATCCCGTACTCAAGAGAAAACTAGTTGCCCTGCCCACACACCCAGCAAATGCCATAAAAAAATTGTATTTAAGAAGCAGGGAGCATAGGATATTTTAACAGCTGACTTACTGCCAGGGAGACGCTGCCTAGCAGTGAGTGCTAGACAGTTTCAGAGCAATGAATTCTCTTCTTCATGAGTCTGCACAGCCACACCAGCACACGCAGAAAAGTCACTACTTCTGCTCTAGAGAAGCACATGGCTGAAAGAGGCAAGAGTGCTATACACCCACGGCAACGATGTGTGAGGAAAATCACATGCTGTCTGTGTATATGCTATCTTGCTCAAGCTACTCATCATCCTCTCTGTGAACAATAGACTTTATACATGTTTTTAACAAAGGAAAGGAAAAAACAATCTGGGTGCAAGAAGATTTCAAAATGCATGAGAGGTAAGGTCCAGGGTCTGTGAAATGAAAGGAAACTAAGTACAGTGAGAAATAGCTGATGGAACTGAAGCAAGACATGAGCAAGGGTCACTTTTTTTCAAGTAGTAATAGAAATGTCACTCCTCTTCTAATGACTGGGATTTGAACAAAACTAGCTGGAACGTACCTATTTTATGTATATAAGTGTGTGTGTGTGTATATATATATGTGTAAATATTAGTGTTTGGTATATCTTCAGAGTTTGAATTTGATCAGCTCAACTGGTTCTTTAAGAGGTCAAGAGGTACCCATCTATTGGAGGGTTTTGGTTTTCTGATCTTTTTTTAAGGGACAAATAAAGACAATTGACTTCCTGAAAAAAATATTTCAGATGCAAAATTGAACAATGTTAGATGCACACATTGGCAGGCAAAAAAATATTTAGGCAGGACTAATTCCAGTATCCAATACTGCTCACTACATAGATTGCTGAAGTCTCTTTCATCTGTCATCTTAGTTTATGCCAGCAGCTCTGAAAAACAAAACAAATCATATTTTTAATAACAAAGGAAGCCCTGCTTAAATTAAAACCCCTTGTTAGCATTTAATGTTCAACTCAGCCAAAGAAGGAAGCTGTGGTGAAAGCAAACAAATATGAAATGTGAAGAATTTCACTCCATTTACTCTGGGTAAAAGCTGCTTAGCGTGGTCTGACTGCTAAACTGATTAATAAGCAGATTCAGCTCTCAAGTAAGTTAAAACTCCCTCTAATGGCAATTGGATAAAGGACAGAGCTTGAAAAAATGAAAAGCATCTCACTGCATTTGAAATGTATTTTCAGCTAGGCAAAATCTAGTTAGTATGAATGCTTTTGAAAAGTGAAACTCCAGCTAGTGCCCAGGATTTTTTTTAAATTACAACAAATTTCTTTACATTCCTGTTAAATTTTTTATATGCTGTGTAAGATGTGTTATGCAAAAATTTACACATTACGTAAAATATGTTTTCTCCAATGTGTTTTTTGCTTTAACAAAGTGGCTTAGAAAAGCACCCATGACAGACTACTCCTCCCATCCATGAAAAGGGTCCTGCTTTTCAGCAATACCACTCCCAACAGAAACACTAAACACTTCCAGAGATACTTAAAGAATCAGAAATTCACGGGCTCAGATTCATTCATAGCAAAATAAGCGTTTAACCTGTGCAGCAAGTGTAATAAAATCAGAAAATATTACATTCTGCTCACAAATACCAAACAGAAATTGTCCTCAGGAAATAATAAAAATTAAGAACAAACCACAGCTCCCTTCAACTGGCTGAGCACTGTCTGCAGGATAAAAATGTTAAGGAAGGAAGGTAGCCAAGGGATTACTGATTAGCACTAGATGTGCTAGCAGTAACATATATACAAAATCATGAATTTAGAAAGCTTCAAGCTCAGTCATAATGAGAGCTGGTAATGCCTTTTTCTACAACCTTGAGGGCATTTCAGGTTCCCAGGTAAATTCTACTTGTTAATCTCCCTTATTTCTGCTATGCCTGCAAAAGGGCGTAGAATTACAAAACTGAGATCATGACTTGATTTCTCATTCACAGTGAGGATTCTGTGCATCATTTTTACAGTCTGAAGGTCATTTCAATCACCACAACACAAGAATCTCAGGCTCTTGCTGGTCAAAGGTGGAACGTTTTCAGAAGGAAAATATTCTAGGAAGTGGAAATCCAGAGTAAAGTCAGCTGAACATAAAATAAAAAAATAATAATAATTAAAAAAAAAAGCAGCAGACCTTTTTTTAAAAAAACTGGATTTTTAAAAACACTTTTATTCAAAAGCTTACCAGACCGATTCTCCTCAAATCCAATCTACTAACTCTTCCACTTTAGGAGTAGAAGCTTTTATAGAGAGGTGTGGAATAAAACAGTCTTTTATACTACTACGCACTCCCCTTCAGAATAAGAAAGGCATTTGGAATCTGGTCCAAACCTCAATGAAGATAATAAAAAAAGTCTTGCAAATTCACACTAGCCTACATGCACCATTGTTACCTCTTCTCTTAATTACTGGAGGTTCAAAGCAGAAATGACCACTTGCCCCACCAAGATAACTGGTAAGTATATTGATAATAGTAGATAAAAGAGTAAGTATATTATGAAAGTATGGAATACTTGCCTGTGAGATACTAGAGGCAAAACAGAGATCAGGAATACGCCTATGCTTGTATGTAATCTCATTTTATTGAATGGTTTGAAGTCCTGCTTAAAATAACAACACTTTAGTCTGTACATGCAGTTTCAATTTTAAAAAATTAAATATATTTGTTTTTTCATAAAACATGCGTATTTATGTACATCATTTTGAGATAAAAGAAAAAGAATTACCATTTACAGCAGAAATTCCTCTTTACAAACCTTTTAAGAGACAAGGCAGGCAGTTGCAATTCTACAGAAGGCAAAGCTTACAAGCTCTCTATACTGAGGGTATAGTTTATTCATTTTATTCTTTGAGAGACATTAGCAACTGCAGAAGAAGGTCATTTAAGAATGGATTCAACTGAAAATGACAGTGGTTCAGTTGTTGAAAGTTTTGTTGTGGCCTGTTTAGGCCCAAAGAAGTCTTTTGCACATTTGTCTATAGTAAACTTGTGGTTTTGGTTCTCTTTAATGGCACATTCTCTGTATTTCTTAGAAGCATCTTCAAAAGACTCTTTCACAAATGATGGTCTCAACTCTGCTCCTGATCTGTCAGGAAACGTTTGCTGGAACAGTGACTGAAATGAATTGTATTTGAGTGGTGGAGGGGGCTTGGTACTGTCTTTGCTGATCTTGCTTAATACCTGTTCCTGAGGAGCCAGAGAATCCTTATCAGAAATCTGACAGAAAGTCCTTTTTGGAGGAGAGAAAGCTGACCTCTCCCGAGCTTCCTGAGGAAGGCATGGTATCTCATTACACGACTGCTGAATGCCTTGCGTGTGGGTCAGAATGAGTGAATTTTCCAGTTTTGGAGACATGATGCTGTGCTCAGTGTTTGGACAGTCCTGACTTTGTGAGACCTTGGCATCCCAACCTGCCCCAGGTTTGAGAGCTTGGACAGTAGTAGCATTTAACAGGCATTGCTGGTAGAGGAGAGCATCACTAATGGGGCCACATTTTGGCCACACTAAGAACCTAGAAGACAGGGGATACTGCCTGTAGGTAGTAGCTACACTGACATTTGAAGAAATTAATTCCATGTTGCTGGATCCTGAACACTGCATGGTTAGATCAAGGCAGGTCGGTAAAAAATTGCAAAACTCCTTGTTTGGAGTATCAACTTGACTAGTGTTAAAGGCTGTTTTATATGAGTTGTATTCAGCTCCATGCACCATGCGATTAGGGAGAAAAAGGGCAGCTGCTTGTGTAGCTTCCATCATCTCTCTCTCTTTATACTCTCTCTCTAGCATAATGTTCTCCAACTCTTTATCAGCAAAAGCCCGTCTCTTTCTCATCCTGTCACTCACAGGGGGTGGCAAGGGTGAATTCCCTCCCAGGTAAGGGTCTGTCGGAATAGGACGGTAACCTAAAACAACAAAGCAGCATTAGAAATGAAGCCACACAAGAAAAACATTAAAGCTGTATTTGTTTTTACAGACTCGTTCGTTTGGAGCCAGTCATGCCAGATGCCGAACACTTGCTACAAACCCTGGCCACTGTCAGCTCCTACTGAAGTCACTGCGCCGCAGATGCTTAGCTCCCTGCGCTGTCAGGTACATTCAGTACAAGTTCCTCAACACAGATAAGCAAGCCCTGCTCCCCTGACACCTGTAGTCTTCTTCAAAGCTAGCTGATTAGTAAGTTTAAAAAGCAATTCTAAAACAGCAGATTAAGCAAAGAAAAACAAAGGCAAAACCCTGCAGTGTGTTATGACTAGTATTGCATCATGCAGCTTAAGGAGATAACCATCCATTTTTAACAAGTACGAAAGTATTCAAATACTTTGCTTCTTCTGAACTAAAAGAGAACTTTGATAAAACATAGAAATCCACTCTCCAGTATATTCAATTACCAGGCTAAATGGATTCATTTAATATAACTGATAGGGTCCAATCCTGTTTGCTCTACCCAGACAAGTCATCCCATCAAATTAATGAAACTCCTTACGTGAGTAAGGAGAACAGGGTTTTACCTGTTTTCACTCCCACTCCTCTCACATGGGTCTCCCCATTGTCAAGGAAGATATCTATACCTACAGCTGATGCCTTTTCTATTCTCTAAAGATGAATCACTATGTACACATTGCTACAAGATGGTAGAAAATTCCAAGGAGAACTAGGGAAAAAGAAAAAGAAAGTTAAGATAAATTAGAGGAAAGAACACAGGAGAGTTTTTTTTTTTTTTAGAAGAGTGAATTGTAGACGAAAATTAGAGGTATCTAACAGGACAAAATTTTAACTGTGCTTGCACAGGCAAAGAAAAGAGCTTTCTACTGGGGAAAAAAACCCCTAGATTTAAGATTTATAGGGCAACAGTTTGGAAAGTGATTAAAGCAGACATAGAAATAAATTTGGGCACGATCTGAAGAGGGAGTGGGAAACAAATAATACACCCTCTCACTAAAATATCCATCTTTAAAATGTCATTCTTCCACAGTTAATATTTTCGACAGGGAAAAAAAAAAAAAAAGAGCAGCCTTTATGCATATCTTACTATTGATAATGCTGCAAATGGTGCTCCCGGGTTAGGCACCCGGGATCAAAAGAAAAAAAGGGATCAAAAGGAAAAAAAAAAAAGAAAAAAAAAGAAACCAAAACAAAACCAAAAAAACAACAACAACAAAACAAAACCAAACCACAAAACCCAACCAACTAATTGATTTACTCATTTGCTGATAAAAACACCCGCGAATAAATTGCCCTGCACTGCGAAAACGCTGCTGGGTAGTCATGTAAAAAGAATGTCAGCTTGTAACAGTAACTCTCAAATTTCAAATTACCGTTGCTAGCATTTCAGGCATTATTTTGGGCTGAAATTCTGCCACATCGATTGCAGCCACGAAGGGCAGGAGCCGCCGGGAGGGGAGGGGAGGCTCCGGCTCCGAGGGCACCAGGCAACGCGCGCCCGTTCGGGCGCGGGTTGCCGGTGCCCTCGGGGCCTCCGCCGCCCCGCGTTTATTTCGGGAAAGTAAGCCGCGTTTCACGCGTGTCTGCGAGCAGCCGCGCCTCGGACGGGAGGTTCGGGATTTCCTGGGGCAGAGCGGGGCTTCCACGCCGCCGGCCGGTGCTGCGGGACTGGGGGCAAGCCGTGGAGGGGCGGGGGACGCCCTTACCTTCCAGGATGCTCTTGGCCAGGAGGCTGGGCGTCCGGACGTGCCTCTGGTAGACGGCTTTGCGCTCCAGGCTCGCCTGCTTCCCCGCCAGCCCCTTCTTGTCCTGGGAGAGAGACGGGCGGTGCCGTCAGCCCGGGGGGCCGCCCGCCCGGTCCCGCCCGGTCCCGTCCCGTCCCCTCTCACCTCGGTGGCCTGCTGCCGTCGGAGTGCCACCTGGGCGGCCATGACGCGCTGCCGCTCCACCACCAGCAGGCAGTTGGCGCACTGGCAGTCGCGCCAGCGGCAGAACCGCTTGTGTCCCTTCAGGCAGGACACCACGCCGTGGTTGCGGCACCGGGCGCACTTGGGCGTGCGGCTCAGCTTCCGCGGCTCGCCGCGCCGCGGGGCAGCCGCCGCCGCCTCCTCGCCTTCCTCCCCCTCCTCTTCCCTCTCCGGGCCGGCGCTGCTGCGCGGCGCGCCGGCCGCCTCGGCCGCCTCCCCCTCCACGCTCTCCACGTCGATCTCCCAGTCGGCGGCGGCGCGTCCTTCGCCCAGGGCTCCGGGGCGGCGCCGCTGAAAGAGAGGGGTCGGGCCGCCCGCCCGCCCGCCCCCGCGGCGGGACGGCAGCCGGGGC